ATCTGCATCTTCCAAAACGCGTAGTTCGTGCCATTGAATTTTTCGATCTTAACTTTATCTTCTGCCATTGTGTAAACCCTTGACCTCTTAACCTAGAGCTCTGATACCAGTTGTTGGGATTTCTCACGATTTAAATCCACTAACAAACACACACAATCGAAGAACAAATCAAGAATATAAAGCAATAAGAAACAAGAAAGAACAAGACACAGATTTTACGTGGTTCGGCAATTTGCCTACGTCCACGAAGCTGCAGGGATTTCACTATTGAGAGAGTTGAATACAGAGAGCGGCTGTATATCCACGATTAACCCTAATCACCAAAACAACAGGGTTTATATGTCCTACGCACTGGGCTGTATAACGGGCCCAAAACAGGGTTTATATGTCCTATCGGCCCAAGCCTTCGCTCCATGGACTAAGCCTCAGAAAATTTTCCATTAAAAATCACACAACATTATTTCGGGTCGGGTCATCATCCGGATCACATATACAAACTAGACTCCATAAAAAAAACCAACAATAAGAGGATTTGCCATAAGATTTCTGGCACCAAAAATCCATCAAACTCATTCAAACCAAAATAATTGCAACAAGTAATATTTGAGCTACTATTCCATTTATTGACTCATCTGACCAAATGAAGATGCTCTACAATAACCTGGAAACTCTGTGTCTCGCACTGCCGAACTTCTTGACTCATTCTTCATTGATGATTGATAAGAGTTTATATTATGAGTACTAGATGCATCAGGTACCTTTTAATATTGGAAATACTTAATATTCATGGATAAAAATAATACAATAGCTCTTCTAACTCAAAATATATCTCTGAAGTTTTTATTACCTTTTCAATCTGAAATGGATCTGTGTTTTTGTGAGCTGGTTCGAGAATAGGCATACCTATTGCACGCATTTGAACAAGAAAAACCTCAAACTGTCTTTGTTGAGCCTCAAACTTAGCTTCCTTTTGACTCATTTGCTTCTCCATTTGTGTATGCTAAGCCTCCATCTCTGCCTTATGTCTACTCAATAGTTCATCTAGTTGGGACTGCATTGCTTGCATCTATTCTGAATTTTTATGTCCAAACACATCTCTCAGAGATGGTCCAAAATCATATATTCTAACACATCTAGGTTGCTCCGGTCTCATGACTTGAGTGAAAACTTCATCTACTGCAAATGAAGATTGCATAAAAGACTGGCAATTGTGACACAAGTTCATCCATGTTTGACTGCAGAAAAAAAATNTGTGTTATGAGAAATACTTATTGTCCTGTATGGATTGAACTATCAGACGCTAATCCAAGTCTAACATTACGTGCACCATTAGTAAAATCGGGGTACAATTAGTCAAGAGTTTTCTAGGCAAGAGAATCAGCTGGATGTTTTGGTACCCCATCATTTGTTCAGTCTATTGCATGTCCTTTCATCAATGATGTTGTTCTTGATGACATAAATAATCTCTGAAGTCTCGTTATTAAAGGGAAATGCCTTACAACTTTTTGTAGAATTGTTTGCCCTCCAATATTTGTTTCATCTCCTTGACCATCAATTTGTTTACATCTAGATGTTTGACATTTCTGGTAGTCATTCCTAGCAGTTGTCTCCTTCCAATTCAACATGCAATCATTGGGACATGCATGTAGCTTAATGCAATCTAGACATAACTCTTTAATCAACTGCCTAGTTGCATAAAATGAAGTATGCAACATGTTACCCTTAGGTAACATATCCTTTAGTACTTGAAGTAACATTGTGAATGACTTGTTGCTACATCCATTAAGACACTTGATGTGCATCAATTGAATGACAGATGACAGTGTCGAAAACTTGGTACATCCCAGATATAATTTTCATTCAACTTCACTCAACCGTTTGAAAAACTTTTTTGTCGCCAGATTTGACCCTTCTTTACTATCCCTTTCAGGTTTGCCACTACTCATTCCACAAACTAGACTTGAAGGGGGAATCCCAAATGCATCATGCTACATTTCTTGAATTTCATCTCCCAAATTAGAATCACTTGTTATTATCACCAGAAACCGAAGCAAATGAACTTTCCCCATGAAAAATCCATCGAGTGTAACTCTCAACAAACCCATCTACAATCAAATTCTCTTCCAAAAGTTTCACTTTTACCAATCTAACATTACAAAATTTTTTGCTTGGGCACATGAGTCCCAGTGCATTTGGTTTATTTTCACATGCAAACTTGATAAAATTCTACACTCCTTGTTCATACAATGGATCCAGTCTATGTAAACATATTCAACTCTTATACATAAACGTAGTCCAATATGATATACTTGCAAATCTAAATCATCAAACATATGCAATTTCAAGATACCAAAATAATCGAACACNAAATTTGAAATAAATATAAAACTTAGGTGAAATAAGAATGGATAAATAGTGAACATCTTTCTTGCCAATATCACATACCAAGGCTTGTGCAACAACATCAGTAACTGGTCGACCATATTTCTTTGAATGTACAACCTTAAAAAATTGAATACGACTCATTTTCTTCCCATTATTCTTTTTATTTTCCTACAGTTAAAATAGACACAATAAATAAACTTGAATAAAAATCTTTTATATAATAAATTTATTTTCTAACAAACTCCTTCCATAACACATGCAAAGCTTACTCCGAATGAATTTGTTCCTCTCACTTTTTTCCTATTACATGCCAAAAGCAATTATCATAATAATTTGAAGAAAAAGAGCAATGACTTCTTTTATAATTGACAAGATTTACACTTGCATATTTGTACATGTGCCTTCGGAGTGCTCCAATAATAAACCAAGGCCCGCCAATGTGATTCCTCCACTCGGTCAGGCTGGTGAGCTAATCTTTGTACATCAATTCTATAGGGATAATAAGCTTGTTTCTTAATCTCACACTTCAAGTCTTTCCACTTCCTCCCTATAGACTTCATTAGATATCCTTTCATCCACTCTTTTACATTAGTGCTTGCCTACAATTCCATTAAAAGACCACTAATAACATGCAAAAGCAATATACAATCACTCACTAACTATAAAATAAATTCAAAAAATTTCGACCTTTATTTCATCCCATATTATTTCTTTACACTCTTTGGAAACAACACTCCACTTGTGCCAATTTATGGGTGCCATGGTCCCATTTCGAGCTAGCATGCCTAAACGAGATTGAAGTGGAGAAAATTTTTCACCAATTGGTTGCTTTAATTCATTTTCCTCAATGTGTAGCACTGCCATCATTCGTCAAGGTAGGACCTCTAATTCATCTCTGTATATCCGAGGAATTGGAACCTACACTTAAAAAAAAATTGTTGAGTGATTACAATATCATGTTTAGTGATAATTATTATTCCTCCATTACTAAAATATACCATCGTCATTGAGTGACGTATTTCCATCATTGTCTAGTGATTGGCCACAAGATGGATGGTTGGTACTAAAACCTGAATTATAAATACTTAAATTGCTAAAAATATAATTGTATGCATAATATCAAATTGTGAGAAAAACATAATCTACAACCAAATAATGTACCTGGGAGGCTAGAAGTAGGGTGCCACCATGATGGTGGTTCTGGAATCATGTGCACATTCTTCACCATAGCAAACTATGAATCATTTATGGATATACAAGAGTTTGGAATTGTGTCATCAAAATATAAACACTAAGTAGTTTCGTGATATTAAAAGAGAGCTCGACATTTTACATTGCAATGAAAATCCAAAAGTATTAAATGTATAAAGTCTCATGATATTAAAAAAAAAACAATTCATATATCATTCATCATCATAAGCATGAACTGTGGTTCCAACAACACCTTGTCTAACCCAGTACATGCTGTCGTCGTCATGGTCAATAGCAGTTTCATCTAAATCTTGTTGCCCATATTCTTCCACCTGGTTATGCTGCATCCTAGCATATTCTCTTAGTGGTTATACATAGACTTCAAATAAATCTCTAGGTTTCACCTTGATGATGATTTTCCAATCTTCTTCAATGGGATCTTGTACATAGAAGACTTGTTGTGCTTGAGATGCTAGGATGAATGGTTTATCAAAGATCAATTCCTTGGTGTAAAGCAAATTTCTAAAATTGATTAGTGTAAAACCAAAGTCATCCCACTTGACAAGATCCCTATTGTTATCATACTTACAGTCGTGTGAATAATATAATTCTATAGTATCAATCAACACTCTGTAATATGTAACATCTCCTTCCACAAGATGCATGTCCATTGAACTAGCATAACTATGAGTACTTGCCTTTAGCATAACACCACTGTTTTTAGTTTTTCTTCTCCGTTCACGTTTCTTTGTGTGATACCTTGTACCATTGATAATGTACCCTGTGAACCTAGTCGTTTGCTTAGACGGACCCATAGCTAGTGTTATAATCTCATTAGAAAGTTGCATATTTCCTATTGCTATTAACTTTTGCGCCTATAGTAATTGAAATTTTGAAATATTAAATAGTAACACATAACATGTCACTTAACTTGAAATTATATGTAAATTTCTTGATGTTACATAAGTAGGATGCAAACCATATGTGAAATGTATCGTTGTGAATGTGATCGACTTCATGATCCCTCACACGGTGATTGAACGTTCTAATAAAGGCACAATGTTCCTTGCGTAAAAAATTCTTGTTTGAATGCAATGAGCATAAAGTTGTTTAACTATTCTAATACAATTACTCTTAAAATGGGACAACTACGACAGTGTTAATGAGCACATAGTGATGGGCCTGTTGTCGTTCTATGTCACTGAGGGTGAACACTTTTCCACTTCCTAAGGGACGACCTCCTTGCCCATCAAATGTGATATTACCATCATAATTCCTTACTCGTCGAAGTGACTTGGTCTCGACATCATGCAAATATCTTGAGAAAAATGTCATATATTCTTCCACCAAGTATCCTTGTTCAATGAATCCTTCTAGCCGACTCCTATTCCTCACATATGATTTAAGTGTGTGGAGGAACCTACAACCTTAGACCAATGATAAATGGAATTACTTGAAATGGGAGAGAGGATTTGAATTAAAGTTTATTTATATATGCATTATGGTTCACCTCTCTATTGGATACATCCAGCGATATTGCACCGGGCCTACAATCTTAGCCTCCTCAGCTAAATGTATCAGCAAATGCTCCATGATATTGAAAAAGCTAAAGTGTAAACACAATCCGAGACTGGAGGTAGTCTAGATCATCTACTTGCAGGACCTTTGAACATATCTACCTAAAAAAATTACATAGTTTAATCAATGGCCCAACCACTTTCTTAGGCAATAAACTCTTCACAGCAATCTACAAAAGTTATTGCATTAATATATGACTATCATGGCTTTTTAGTTCAGATACAGTATGTTATTTAACATTAAAACACCGAGAAATATTTGATGCATAGCCATCTGGAACTTTGAGTTTCTTTAGAAGTGCACAATCATTTGATGCATAGTCGTCTTTCTCCCCATTGTCCATAGTGAAGCATGAAGGGGGCAAATAAAATTTGTTACCCGCTTGTTGTTGTGGGTGCAAGGCCTTTGGAATGCCCATCTCTTGCAAGTATAGTCAAATATTTAGATTGTCTTTCTCTTTTCCAGCAACATTTAAAAGAGCCCACAATAAATTGTTACAAACATTTTTCTCAATATGCTTCACACCAAGATTATGTCGAATCAGATTGTGCTCCTAATAAACCAACTCAAAGAAAATGTTTTTCTTCTTCCAATTGTAGCTTAGATGAGTCTCGTTATCTTCATATACCCCATCTAACCTCCTTTTTTGCCTTTTGGAATGGCTATTCTTGCCATCCTTCCCAAAGTTGTTTTGGTAATTTGAAGAAAACATTTGTAACACATCTATGCCTGAAAGTCGAGCTAGATTCATTTCAACTTCAACAGTGCCACCAAATGACAATTTATCTTTATGAAATCCATGATCTTGACCCAACTAGCGTCGATGCCCCATGTAAC